AGTAGGAGGAAGAGGAAGCTCTCTGCACACACTCACGGGACCTGGGCTAGGCTTGGGTCTGGGGGCTCCGGGACGGGGCAAAAATTCCTAATCGGCGGGACGGGTGGGGGAGGTATGGCAGAGTGGTGTGGGGTGGCCCGAGGGGGTGGAGAGGGTCCGGCCCACTCTGCTCCTGGGCTGGGACTGGTCCCGCCGGCGCAGGGTAGCAGGAAGCTCTCCGCACACTCACCGGACCTGGGCTGGGACTGGGTCTCTGTTGGTTCATTTTAAATCCTGCTCAGAGCTGCTTCCCGGGGGTCCATCAGGCCACTGCTTTCCTGGTGGCTGCATTCTAGTGAGGGGAGATAGACACCAAACAAGTAAGCATAGGGAGAGTTTCTGCTAAGGATAAGCCTGTCTGTGGAGGAAGAGCCAGCCACGCAGAGCTAGAGCAGAGGCCTTCCAGGCACACAGAACAGCCAGTTCAGGGGCCCTGGGGACGAAATGGATGCAACACGCTTGAGGGAGGAGCAAAGCAAATGGGAGGCCTCATCCTTCATGAGGCTGTGTGTGTGCGCGCGTGTCCAGGGGTTGGTGTTTGGATAATAAATCCATTTCTGCAAGGACTTGGGAAATCAGGAGGGAAGTGGATTCCCAAGGGCAGAGATCAATCTTCAGCAAGACTGAAGTGACTTATTTATTTTCCCAGCTTAAAAGAATCCATTGTCATTTCACAGTGTGGTAGGAGTCTGACACGGGCTAGCAGGCCCCTGCTCACAGTCTCCTAAGGGTGAACCATGTGCTGTCCAGACTCTAAACTTACCTGGCATTCAGGAGCCCTTCTGGCTTACCAGGCTGTGCCCGCATTCAGCCCTTCATGTCGTAGGACAGAGGACTTTCTAAGGACCGTTCACGTTTCCTCTCCTGTGGCCCCTCCACCCTCAAAGCCAGCAAGATAGAATCTCTCACACTGGATCCCATCACACACTTTAGATCCACCCAGAAACTTCTGACTTGATTTGAGTCATGCGTCTTCTGTTTACCTGGCTTGGGACACAATTGGTTTATGTGTCCTCAAAGGCCTCAAATGCACTTATTAAGAAAAGCGTGTCACAGGCACAGACAACAGGAAAGCACCAAAACCCAGATTGTGTTCAGTGTGCACTCAGCCAAGAGGCAGGCAGGGGCCAAGCTGTCCCCCAGCAGAACCCAGCCAGCACATATATTTTGTTTGGACCACAGACAAATCAAGAAATAACCCATTGTAAATAGTCTCAGTCTCAGTCTCTGTCTCTCTGTCTCTCTGTGTCTATCTCTGTCTCTGTCTCTCTCTGCCTGTCTCTCTCTGTCTGTCTGTCTGTCTCTGTCTGTCTGTCTGTCTGTCTGTCTGTCTGTCTGTCTCTCTCTCTCTCTCTCTCTCTCTCTCTCTCTCTCTCACACACACACACACACACACACACACACACGCCTGGTAATAGTGGACATGCACCCATGTGGCCCGGGTCAGCTTTGACCCTGAGGAGGGCCTGCTTTCCTCTGTGTACCCAGGTGGCCACTGTTTCCAGTCTGACCTCTGTGGACCTCCTCCCTTCCATCACCTCCTGGCTCTGCAGGCTTTTGCTAGCAGCGGGCTGCATTTTCCTATGTCCTTGTCGCAGGAGCTGTGACGTGATGGGTTCACTGTTTTGGTCCAGGGCTCTGTGGAGGACATGAATGCTCAAGGCCAGTTTTTTTTTCCTTGGGGCATCTCTGTGACCATGACCCTGGGCTCTTTTGTCATGAGTTAAGAGGAAAGGCCTTGAAGATGAGGAATGGGACTGATTGGAACACAAGCAGACAGACAGAAGGTGCAGAGTGGGGTGTAGATGGGCTCCGAGTGATGTCAGTGTTCCAGCCTTTGTAGAGCATTGGTCCCAGGAGCAGCGCGGCACCTCAGTGGAAACCAGGGTGCCCTCCCACACAGATTCGCTGATGTTATGCATAACCTTAGCAGGCGGCAGCTTTTCTTCTCAATTTCTGCATCCATTAACTGGGAATTGAATCAGACTCTGAAATATATTCACGAAGGCCATAGGTAGTATATATAAAACACCACAGAAGTAAGTGCCCAGGGGAACAGGGAGATGGCTCAGGGAGCTAGAGAGATTGCTCAGTAGAATAAGCGCTTCCCTGGCAAGTGCAAGGGCCTGAGTTCAATCCCTGGTTACACACACACACACACACACACACGAAGTAAGCGCCCAATAAATGATGCTAAGTGACCTCAAAATCTTTTAGGAATGAATTAAAATATGAAACAGAAAGGAAAATAATGGTAGATGTTTTTAATGAGTCTTCAGTCTCATGGGTGGGGCGGGGCTTTGCTCAGGGAGTAGGGTGCTCTTCATGTGCATTTCACCTGCATCTTGTCCCTGTTTTGGGACTTTCGGGGGCCAAGGCTTATTTTGCTGTCTTGTAGCGGTTGGAGCCAGTAGACCCGACTGGCGAGAACTGGATGACGAGCTCATGAAGCAGGCCGTGCTATATGTGGATTCCCGAGAGGCTGCGCTGAAAGAGTCAGGAGACGTGCTGCTGTCAGGGGTGAGACTCTCATCCACGGGTTGTGCCTTGCTGGCCCTGTGGTAGCCAGGGTTTCACTAACTTCCCTGCAGGTGGCCTCCAGACCTAGGACACTCCACCTCCTGGTGGGGAAGAAGCTCTTAAGCCTCTTGCAACCCTTTTTAATCCCATCCCCCCAAATGTCACTGCAGCAGTGACATGCACTTTCCTCTCTCCTCTGTCTGGAAGGAGAAGCTTGAAGGCTTTTTCCATTATGCTGGGCTAGGAGGCAGTGGATTTGGGAGATGGAGAGAGGCTGTCAGCCCAGAACCCTTCCCACATGGCCAGCACAATAGCGCCACAGGTGGCCACCTAGACTGCCTTTGTAACCAGGGCCTAGAAGCAGGAAGCAAGCTTCTAAAAATGCATGTGCAGATGCAGATATGTCTATTGTATCACTTGACAAGGGACCTGGTAGACCATCCCCGGTGGGTATAGGCTTGGATCTCTGCGTATGTGGCATCCAAGAGTACAGGCTGGCCACACGGGACTTCAGGAGGCAGCATCTTCCTGTATTGCCCGGGGCTTTGTGTATGCTCCATGCTGGCTTCAGAAGCCAGCCCAGAGCGGTCTTTGCTCAGAACTGGTTCTGTGTGCATTTGTTTCATAGGCTGAGATCTTCGCCGAGCTGGGAGAAGTGATAAATGGAGTGAAGTCAGCCCACTGTGAGAAGACCACAGTGTTCAAGTCTCTGGGTAAGATCCCTGGGCACAGATCCACCCAGAGCACAAGGCACATGTAGCAACCAGAATAATGAGTCACCAAGCTCTGCAGCTGAGTACTGTAAACTCTGTCCATTCTGGTCAATGATTTACAGGTCTTAGCAGCGTGATTAAGCCCCTGAACTCTGGAATTGGGAGTCCTGGATTAGAATACCTTCCCGGCCATGTCCTGGATGTGTGGCCTTGGACAGTTACTTTGTCCCTTGTCTGCTATCTTGAGTTGTGAGGATTAAGTCAGATGTGCATGAAAGATGACTTACAATAGCAAGTATAGTGGCAAATGATTTAGAATTAGACATAAACAAAGCTCAACAGGCGATGTCTTTCAGAGGTGGGTGGGAAGCAAAGATGGGAAAAGACAAGAACTGAAGGAAAATGACACAGGACTCACCTGAAGGTGATTCAGACAGGAAGGCTGGCCTTTGACTTCTTTATTCCATCCTTCCCTACCCCCCTACCCCCGCTGCTGGAGGGGGGATTCACGGGGAGTCCCAAACAGCTAAACCGGTCTGTTGGGGGGAAAGCCCAAGGACGGTGCACACTCAGCAGCCTGTCTGCCCCCTGACTCCACTCTGTCTATGAGATTAAGAAAACAGCAACCCCTGGGAGAAGACCTGTCAGCAGCTCCTAGGCCAAGACTGAACTCTTCCCACACTGCTGGTCAATCACTGTTCCCTGGGGCCCTCTAGAGTGCCCTCTGCCCCTCTCTCAAGACCTTCTGTACTTCTTCATGACCAGGAAATGAAAGCTTTAGCTCTAGCAGGGCATCAAGTGTGTCTGTCCACAGCATTCATGCCATTGGTCACCGTCCATTCCCTGCTGGCCATTAAATATGTTTAAGTCTCTCATGCACTGAAGATATATGCAGATAGCCTCACTCAGAGCCTGGTTCAATGACGCCCCACCAATCTAGTTATGTCTGGGAGTTTCAGAGTTCATAGCAGACCAGAAGTCAGCCAGCTTCCTCACGGAGGCAAGACGTGCAGATGTCTTAAACACTATCATGTATCTGTGATGGATGCAAAGACTAAGCTAGAATCTGAAGTTGCAGGGTTATTACCCCTTGTCCAAAATGCTTATGACCAGAAATGTTTCAGATTTTAGAATATTTGCATAGACTTTTACAGGCCGAGCATTCCTAATCTGAAAGTTTGAAATGCTTCAAAAGTGCAGTGCCAACCTGACTCTGAAAACATTTCAGATTTCAAAGCACTTTGGATTTCAGATTTAAGGATGAGGGCATCCAGCCTCGGGGATAAGAGGGGAGTGCCGAGGGTACAGGGTTACAGCTAGGCGGGGTCCAACAAATGCCAGTCTGTGGGACAGACCTACCCACCAACCTGTTTTTGTGTAGCCCATGTGTTAGAAATGGTGTTTATATTTTCAGATGATTAGGGAAGAAACAAAAGAATACTTCATGACACATGGAAATGATGTGAAATTCAAACTTTAGTGTCCATAAGTAATGTCTTACTGGAACACAGGCAGGCTCATTTGCTTCCTGTCATCTGTGGCTGGTTTTCCAGTGGAAGGACAAAGTGGAGTAATTGCAACAGAGACCATGTAGCCCACACAGCCTAAAGTATTTACTGCCCAACCCTTGATGCTGAAATTGTGCTGACCCCTAAGCTGGATCTTAGGTGGCACAACATTTGGGCATTTCTTGCTGGGTACCATACTCCGAGCCCGTTGCAGACGCCAAAGCCTAAGCTTACCTCCAGGTTCCTAGTACCCTGAGGGGCATTAACGGGATGTACACTGTATCCAGGAACTGTCAGCCACAGGGCCTGGTTTACTTCATGGAAAATTTTTTCAGTCAAAAAGTGAACCAAATTTCTATCTTTTCCAGGGTTGGCTGTGGAAGACATGGTTGCAGCCAAACTAATATATGATTCATGGTCATCTGGTAAATGAAACAAAGCAGCTCTGCATCGAGATGAATGCTACAACTCAAAGGACATTGCTGTGACTTGTCTCAGAATTTCCAGATTAAATGACAGCCTAGACCCCAGTGAACTGCAATTTGTGCTTATTATGTTGTACTTTAAATACCGAGTTTGTGTTTGTAGGTGGAACCCAAAACTTGATGACTATTTCTTCTGTTAAACCAAATTATAATAACATTCCCTTCCTTTGTGTTTCACTAACTTTGGACTTCCCTGAAATAAAGCTTTTCCAGTTCTGTGCATTTGCTGCCATAACTTCCATTTCTCATGGCAAGGAAGTGGGGGAACTGAAGCGCTCACTTCAGCTGGCATGATGTCAGAGGCCTGTCACCCCAGCACCCTGGAGGCCGAGGCAGAGGGATTGCCCATGTGGGCAAACCTAGCAGCCTGCTAAGACCCTGTCTCACAATTAAAAATAAAACAGTGATGGTGGCATAGTTTAGTCTGAAGGTCCTGGATTCAATCTCTAGTACTTAGATAGATGGATTTGTGAACAGATGAATGGATGAATGAATGGATGGATAGATAGATGATTGATAGATAGATAGATAGATAGATAGGGACAGATAGTGCTTTCATTCACTCCCCTAAATGACCATCAAGAATATAATGAAAGGGTTTTCTGCTTTTTAAATGGAAATACAACTCACAACTTTTACAGTGTAAAATTCAGTGGTTTTAGCATATTTACAGAGCTGTACAACCATCACTGTGTCTAACTCCAAAACATGTTTATCACTGCAAAAGCTGTGGTGCCATCAGGGTCACCCCTCCCAGGCCAGAGAACCACCCAGGGCCTGGGCTGCTTTCCACTGTGGATTCACCCCTTCCAGCGACAGCTGTATTGAGAGGCGCCCAAGTGTCTTTAGATACCAGCATTTTCTTCAGCCTCGGCTCTGTTATCCAACACCTTGTCCACTGGTAGTAGGACAGTTGCCAACAGCTCTTGAATTATACCTTGTCTTCTTCATCAACCCTAGCATAAACAGACACCTCTTCTTCCAGAAGTCCCAGGACTAAGATGCACTGTCCATCTTGGAGGTCATGTGCCCATTCTGAGCCCAGTATCATAGCTGAACGATATGGAACCCTGCTTTTGTCCAGGCTGAGGTTTTGTACCTGTCCCTAAATTATTGCATTTTTCAGGGAGACCTGAATCTGTGGACACACACCTACCCATGAAGTCAAATGTGGAGTCGAACTATCTGACCACATGAGCTGACAGATAAAAGATGGCTGGATGTGTAGAAGGCCAAAGCTCCATGTCTGCTAGAGGATCCATGTTGAAAGGGCCACTAGGACTCACCTACTCCAAGGCCCGTATAAAGATGTGGAAAGAGTTGCAGAAATGCTCTCCCCAGGACCCGAGTCCCTAGTCTGCTCATGTTCTGCCACAGAGCTTGTCTGGTCCAGTGCCAACACCCGCCCAAAGATGCTTATCAGATAAGTCAACAGAAAAGGAAAGTACATCATCTGACTTTGCTTTCTACTCATACTGCACCTGCCAGGGCCTCTTTACACTATAGGTAGCTTAGCCCAAAGTGAAACCTGTTTACCACACTGCCTGGACAGGGGGGACCTTTGTATTGAACAAAAATACCCACGTGACCTAATTCTGCACATCTCAAGTGACTGGAGTCTTTTTGGTGATTTTTTAAAAATGTTTTTAGTACAGGGTCTTGCTACACAGATCAGACTGCTTTTAGCCTCCCAAGTGTTGGGATTACAGGCGTGCCACCACACCCAGTCTCATTCATGCCCCCGGGGCGGGGCCAGCTCAGCATGCCATTGGCGAACTTAGGTGGCCATCCTCTGGAATATAAAGAGAAATATGTATGATGATGGAAATACAGTGATGCCTTGGTTCACAAATGATTTTGTTTGCAAATAACTTGGTTCACAAACAGCATTGATCAAATTTTGAAGTATTTGATAAAATTTTGCTTTTGCTTGCAAACTGTGCAATGGGTGACAATCACAACCACCTTTCCCACATAAACATGGCCATCTTTTCCAAAATCATAAAACAAATTAAGTTTGTGAATCAAGGCACCATTGTACTTACTCAAATATTTCTTTCATTCTTTTCCTCAAGAGCCCTATCATTACTCCAAATGAGGCTACTAAGATAGAAGCAAACATAAATAGTCCTCATCCTCAAAGAATGCATAATCCAGAAGATGGGATGTAAAGGGATACAGTGTAGTGCTTTGGGTAGCATAGGAACAGGTGATGTAGAGTCCCCAGCAGTAAATACATGCCACACTGAAAATGCACAAGTGAAAAGTTAACAAAGACTATTTAGAAAGATGTCCCCAAAGTCTGACGATAGCAGGAAGCTGATACTAGTAACTGAATACAGTTGGTGGAACTCAGCAAGAACTGGAGTTGTAATTGAGGGCTGCCAGACAGGAGCTCTCAGCTTAGATTAAGGCAGCTATTGCCCTGCATGGAAAAAACAGATGACTAAGTACCCCAAGCTCTCTGTCTCACTTTGTGGTCTCCTATCAATACCTTCCACTATCTAAACACAAGCAGAAGCCCCAAAGCAAAGGCGCTCCACCATGCAACCCACAGAGGTCACCCACCTGAAGAGACCAGGATGGCAAATAGCACAGCTGAGTTCTCTGTGAGCTAGGGTGAGCACTAACCAATCTGGGGTACAGAGAAGGCGACTCTCTCGGTGGGGCTGTCTGCAGGCAGGCAGGGTTTTCCAGCAGAGGGATGGTGGTGAACAAAGGCACAGGCATGAGAGAGACATGCGTGATGTGTTCTGGAAGCTACAAAGACACATGGTGTGGTTCTGAGGAGGGCAAAGGAATGGTCAGAAATGAGGCCAAAGGCTTGCAGGAGAGAATAGGGCTCTTTGATTGTAAGTTTTATGTGTGATGGTGAGGGCCCAAAAAGCAATGGGGAGGCAGAAAATGCCAAGAGAGGACTGGCATATTAGAAAGATCTCTCTGCCAGCACTCCAGAGAACAAATTAGAGACAGACTGGATACTCCAAAAATAGTGAGCAAAGAGGGGGGCATGAAGAGGCCGTGGTATTGCAAACAGAAGAAAATTTAGGCTTAAGACATGTGAAGGAGCTGAAGGCACTTAAGTGACCAGTTGGGCGATGCAGGTCAAGAAAAGAAGTGTTGGGTGAAACTTCCTATTCATTAAAAACGGAGATTCTGGCTTGGGCTGGTGGTGGTGCTTAAACTCAACACTGTCGGCATTCAGTGCGCAGGACTCCCTGTTGTAGAGGCCTCTGCTTATGCACTGTAAGATGTTTAATGTCCATTGTTTCTTGTTCTCCTAACATCAGTGGTTCTCCCATCCAACTCACCACAATCAAAAACATCTGCAGACATTGCCAGGTATCTATGGGCAAAACTATTCATGTCAAGAACTTGATTTGGGAGAAAATGTGTTCAATTCTGGGTACACTGCTTGATGTATGTATGGAACATTTGAAGGGAGGTGTCAGCTAAGACTTGGGCATCATCTAGCTTGTGACTCAGTAGGATTATGAGCATGTAACTGACCTGTATTTACATGGTGGCCTGAAATATAAGCATCAATTTCTCCAACTCTTCTCCTCAGTGCAGTGTTCCTGGGGGCTTGTTCTGCTTACTAACTTTTACATCAGACTAAGCAGGAAAGGAAAAAGCAGGTGTTTAGGTGGGGACCAGGTACCACTGGATCAAGCCATTGTAAACATCCAGCTTAAGGGACGGAGGCCTGAGATCAGTGAGTATTTAAACCTTACACTGGCTCATAACTTGCCTTTCTATTGCCCTAGAGTCTTCTCCTAGGCTCCTTTTTGGAGGGGATTTAGGTTGAAAGATCTGGAATTCCAGATAACCTTTCAAAATATGGTATGAACCTTCTTTATAACATAATGCTGCATGATGAAGCAGTCATATCTTCAATGCTAAGAAGCTGGGAGGGCCCTTCACTTACTAATTCTGTAAACAACAGGAGACCGTGAGCACCTCGGAAGAGCACAGAAATGTCTCCTGCTAGGCCTTTCCCTCCCAAATGTGGTAAAAGTCACATGTTTAGACCCATTTCTCCTGATCCAACTGATTTCTTTATTATGTAAATTTGACCTGGAAGTAGAAATAGTGCCTCAGGACAGTTGTGCAAAACTTGTGAGCGAGGATCCCAGCGTCTGCGATGGTGACATAGAATAGAAGCAGGCTTGGACTACACACACGCCTTCTGTAGACCAATAGCTTTCAAGCATGTTATTGAAGATAATACTTCAGTTTGTTCCTGAATAAAACACAGCATTTGTAAACATAATTATCCTCTAGTGCCCTACATTAATGATCAACAAACTTCCTAAACACATCCATCGAAGAATGAGATTGTTCATCAGATTTGAGCACCTGTATCATCCGAAGATTATATCCTTTGTCATACCTCTTAATGTAAGCTAAATGGATACGAATTAGAGGTCTTGCTGAAAACAAATATTTCTATACTATACACAGAATGGTAGATTCTACTTGATGTAATTCTGGCTACAGAAATCCAATGAAATTTAGCTATTAAATAGGGCTGCAGGTCAGGCAGACAGCTCAGCAGTCTAAGTGTGTGCCTGGTAAGCACAAGGACCTGGGTTTGATTCCCAGCACTGCATGTCATGCTGGCCCCAGAACCCGGGTCTCACTGTGGCAGCCACCACAACCAGGCATAGTGGCACACACCTGTAATCCCAGCACTGGGGACCTGGGACAGGAGGATCACTCTGAGTCTGAGGTGTATAACAAGACCCCATACCAAATAAATAAAGCATTTTTTAAAAAAAAGTGCTTCTATCTGGATTTGGGGTTACCTTTTAAAAACTTATAAAATCAATTTTGCCCCTTTACATCATGGAACGTGCACATGTTAGCAAATGTAGTAGTGGAAACAGACAACAGCAAACAAGCAGCGCATGCATGTGGCCATGTAGAATTTAGTTCTACAAGCAATCTCCCTACAATTAATTTTTTCTCGTAAGGTTCCAGGAGACACTTAGAAAGGTCATCAACTAGGTCCTGCTTTTTTTTTCTGCATCCTTCTTCCCTCCTCTCCACCCTCCTGCTTATGCATTGTAGTAGCTCAGACTGCCACAACGAAGCCTCACAGATGGAGGGACTCACAGCAGGAATTCATTATTCACAACTCTGGCAGCTGAAACTTCCAGATCAAGCCGTTGGCAGGCTTGGTTTCTCCTGAGATCTCTCTCCTTGGTTTACCAACAGCACTCTTGCCGTGTCCTTGTACGATCCTTTCTCTGTGTACGATCGCACCTTTTGTTACTATCCTTTTCTTACGAAGACATCAGTCATATGGGAGGTGCCAGCCTTACGGCACCATCTAACCTTTCATGACCCAATCTCCAGAAACAGATTGGATGTTAGAGCCACAACATGCGTTTTAAGGATTTCACAATTCAGTCAACCAAAGGTACACTACTCTTCCTTTCTTCACTCCCCCTTGTAAACACATAAGCATCTGTTTAAGTGCGAGGCGCACATGAGTTGGTCATCAAGCCTCAGGCCAATGAAGAACTCTGATGTCCAATGACAAGCAAAATTATGGAGCTAAGGACAGAACCAGACTTAGAATCCTCAGGCTATGTGAACCAAAAAGTAGGGTAGTGTGCTGAGAAATTATCATTTTACATTTGGAAGTTAGAAAAGCTAAGAAAATTTCTTTTCCATTTCTATCATACATTTGACCCTTTCTTTATTCAAAAATACCAAAATGATAACTGAAAAAACACGCCATGTTCTTATTCCAGGGTACCCTTGAGTTTCTCACTGGTGGTTAATTTGGATAGGCCTCGGTACTTCCAAGAGTACATTCTGGGCCTCTTTCCTACATGGGCATCTCCAAAACCTTAGAATGGGCTCTCAGTGGCCTGGCATTGGGTGGGTATGGAGCATGGACTGGAGTGCTTTCCCTTGGCCACAGTATCTCCTGCCCTGTAGGCACATCCAGGACCCAGAAATGTCCCTCAGAGGCTGGTGTCCACCAGCTGCCCAGGCTGCTGCAGCACCTGCTTCCTTCTGCTTATGGCATTAAGAACTTTTTTCCTGGGACCCAACTGCATCTGGATGTTCTGAAGGTCCTCATCAGAGCAAAGCAAGAGAGCTTCCAGGTCAATCTTCTCTCTTGTAAAAATGGGAAGGAATTCTTCCAGGTGCAGGGACTGCAAGAACACTTCCAGGGGAGTTGCGTCAACCGCATCTTCCTCCCACTCTGCTTCCTCCTCATCCCAAGGCAGTTCACCCACAAGGCCATTTTCCTCTCCTTCTTCAGCCTCCACTTCCTCAGCCTCTGCTGTTTCCTGTCTCTGGAGAAATTCACTGGGCACTTTAAATACTAACTCTCCCTTGCTATCTGGGAGCTCTTCAGAGCTCAACACTCTGTTCCTTCTAAAAACCATATTTCCTAGGCCTGGACGGTTGAGGATAGATTCATGTTGTGTATCGCCTTCTTCCTCCACTGAAAATGTGAGCTTCTCTTTGAAGTCTCCTGATGACGACTCCTCTTCCTCCTCTCTAAACACTTCCATCACATTCCTCTGCCCACTTCTGCCTTCTTTCCCCATCTGCTCTGCTGTATCTTTGTTCTTCTTGAACTTCAACTTGAAGGTATCTTTAATGCCCTTAGAGAGCGACCCAAATGTACTGGAGGCAGAAGCACTGGAGAAGGATGACCTGGAGAAGGTGCCCTTCAGGGAAGGAAGAGGCCCAGCCTCCTCCCTGCTGTAGGCTCGGGCCATCTTATTCTGATGCCTCTCCTGGAGCCTTTCGCATTCTTTGATTTGCCTCCTGGCATTCTTCTGAGCCTGCTCCTTCAGCCTAGCTACCTTCTTGGGGTTTACCACATTCTGGGTAGTGGCAGCCTTATCCAAGAGGGCAACACATTCACTCTGCTCCCTGCTGGCAGCGGCATCCAAGGGAGACTTTAAGTCATTGTCCAGGGCAAAGATGTTGGCACCGAAGCTGATCAGAAATGAGACACAGTGTGCATGGCCGTTGGAGGCAGCGTAGTGCAGAGGAGTGTTTCCCCAGATGTCACATCTACTGGGGTCCCCGCTAGAAGAAAACATGAAAGAGGCATATTGAACTTTTTTCCTCTGAACACAAAGTCCAAAAAAATAAACAAAATGCATGCTAGTGCAACATGTTTATCCTGCCTTGATGTTGACCTGTAAATCTACATCTATCACAGCCAGACACCAGATGGCCAGAAGTAGAAAAGGAAGTCACTACCCTCTGTCTCCCTTTCAGAAGTCATTTCAGAAGTAAGAAAGGCTTTCTGAGGACCTTTCTCTAGCAGAACAAGTTTCATACTTCATTGGCCAGCCCTGTGGGAAGGAAAGGGTGCCATGTCGAACTTATCCAAATTAGAATTTTTCCTTGAATCTAGACATAGGACCAGCCTATAAAATACGGGCAAACATTTGGTCACTGGCTCATTCAGGAAAAAACTAATTCCTGATTTATAGAACATGCCAATTTCTGTGCTGTGAATATACCCATTGGGACAAATCTCAAGTCACCAATGTGACGTCCTTGGACATAGATTTTGGAAGAGATGTGTGTCATGGGGTCCTATTCTGAATCACAAGGATGTAGTGGCTAAGCATAATCTTAAGGGCAAAGACAATAGTAAAATGTAGCAAAATCATTAGGGACTGATAAATTTTTATTTATTTATTTTGAGACAGGATTTTGCTAGAGTCCAGATAGACTGGCCTGAAGCTTGCTGAGTAGCCCATGCTGGCCTCAAACACTGGGTCCTCCTGCCTCTGCCTCCCAAGTGTGGAGATTACAGGAATGTACCAGCACACACAGCTGGGTGCCTGCTTGTTTTGTTTAAACAATTCTTGTTTAAATGATTCTCAAGCTTCCTGAAAATTTAGCAATGATGTCTCAGGAGCTGGTAAGAACTGATTCTAGCACCACACTGCTACTCACCTCTGCCTAAAATACAGGAAAATAAACAACTGAAAGAAAGAAAGAAGAGAGGGAGCACTTGAGAGGGTCAGAGATTGAGAGGGAGACAGGGAGACAGAGGGAGAGGGGGAGGGAGAGGAAAAGGGGCAGGGGGAAAGGGGGGAGGGGCAGGGGGAGGGCGAGAGAAGAGAAGAAGATAGGAGAGGAGAGGAGAGGAGGGGAGGGGAAGAGGGGAGGGCAGGGGAGGGGAGGGAAAGGGAGGGGAAAAGGGGAGGAGAGAAAGAGGGGAGGGGAGGAAGCTAGGATAGGTCCCATCCCCAAGAACGAAGGGAGGAGCTGGTGCTGAGCAGGGAGTAAAGTGTCTGCCTGCGACTGGCCAAGTGTTACTCACCCAGAGGGTGGGAAACCGCCATTCCTCCCTCAGCTTCCTTCCCACATCCTATGAATGAATAGTTCTACAAGAGCTTAAAGTGCAAAAGGACATCGTTGTGGTGTTGAAGCCACAGACCCAACGCCTGGCCCTGAAGCCAAGACACGCGGAGCTCGTAAATCCACGCGTTGGCGGAGGCCTGCAGGCCTTCGAGCTCCGCCGACCGCCAGCTCCCTGCAGCGACCCACCGAGGCTGGGGGCGGGGGCAGGAGAGAGAGCCCAGTGGCCCTGGCTAGCCCTGCTGGTGCGGAGGGCACCGGCAGAAGACCCACACCCTCGCCGCTGATCTGGCAACGGAGTCTTTCCTTGTTTCTCAGGGTCGGGTTCCGGCCCGAGACGCAGCAACAGCTGGGGTGTTGCTGGAAGTGTAGGAGTTTGCCTGCAGCGCGGGCTGACTGAGCTGGAGTCCAGACAAGACGCAGGCGGGTTCGCAGGCTCCCGCAGGCTGGGCAGAGGCACCCAGCGAGGACCAGGGAAAACGCCAGGCAGCGACTCAGGGCAGGAGCCCTCTAGGAGTCGGGCTGCTCCTGACCATCAGTCCCGAGCGCGTTCGCAGCCGCTGCCCACCACCACCAGCCCAGACCCTCCTGCAGGAGGGAGCCAGGACTGCTTGGGGCGGAACCGAGCAAGCTTCAGCTGGCTCGAGGTAGCAGGCCGCGTGCTTGGGGGCAAGCCTGCCTTTAGGTCTTACGACAGTCTTACATCAAAACTTTCTAGCTTTCCCATCTTTCCAGCTACAAGTGCTATAGTTTAACTTTTCCACGACTTTTTCATTTTAAATTGAGAAAACTAAGTGCCAGTAATTCTCTCTACTTGGGAGGCTGAAGCAGTATAGACTGCAAGCTCCAACCTGGCCTGGGAATACAGAAATTTAGCAAGATCTTGTCTAAAAATAAAAATTAAAAAGGATTGGGGATACAGTGCAGTGTGAAGGCCTTGGGTTCAACACCAGGTACTGAAAGCAAAAACAAATATGACAAAAACTCTAACCCTCCTACCTACTCAGAATTGTTATGTGAATTAAGTAAGTCAGTATATACAAAGCCCAGAAAAGTGCTTGGCACACTGTAAGTATTTAGTGAGCATCACTTGTTACTATGTTCCCTGTCTCCAAACACATAATTTTTAATTTCATGTAGTTAGTTATTTTTTACCACACCTACCTGATAAATTTTCAGCTCCTATGGATTTAAAGCACTTACAGTCTTACCTAATTTGTGAAATACTTATGTCGTCTCCCTAATAATTAGGAAAAAGTTTTCCCTTGTATCATCTGTATCTCCTTGCATAAATATTAAACCACTTGAAGAATTCAAGTAGGAAAATATAAGTGAATGAGGCCAGGCTTGTTCTCTCAACAGAAATGAAGTTAGGTGTGTGCGTCTCTGGGAAGGGCCGCTGGACCCCAGCTGGGCCCGATGCTATCTTAAATGAAAGTAGAGATGGTATTTCGAGAGCCTCCATTTGTGAAATGAAGTCAGGGATCCAAGATTTCATGGAAGTTTTTAAAAAATCAGTGACTCAAATGTAAAAGAAAAATACAGTGAAGTCCAAATAAAAATTATTGCAGACTAGATCCAGCCCATAGACGGGCCACCTCCTTTTGCACAATGAGAAAGGATGAGCCGATACACACGGGGTGACAGTGTATGATATATCTGGGGAACCCAGGATACGCATCAGTGTGGCCCTCCACACTGATGGAGTGGAGGAAAGAGTGAGATGCGAGATGGAGAAGGAGGGCAAGCCGGACGTAAGGAAGGCACAGACTGAACGAGGCAGCCCTACTGTGCTGCCTCTTTCCAGAAGGCTCTGGTCAGCCGGCCAGGCTTCACTGTTCTGGGTCCAAGGAGACCTCTCCCAACCTCAGCACGCTGCGCATCTTAGGGGAGCACAGTGCTGCCCTTCAGCCCCGAACACAATTTTATTTATTTTAACCAAATACTACATTCAAATGACTCCTTAAACACTCTAGACTTCAAAGGAGGATTGTAAAACGTCCAAGATGTTATCGTAGACATAAACAAAAACATGTTGATTAAATTTGCTTGAAATTATCTTTGTGTTGAATAAGCTAAAAAAGCTATTATTGGGCAGAATGTAGCAGGGAAGTGACAGGGTATTGAGAAGTCTAGATTAAACCAATTCACACAAAGCCCTAACATATCAGAATATTCCCATTTCAGTGAGTCTTAAATTATGTTTTTAAGATGTGAGAAAGAACAGGAGGGCAACCTATGGTGAACAAAAAAGGTGGACTTTCTTTGAAGAAAATTTCTAATGCGAACATCCAAATTCATACACGCAACTGTCAATAAGATAATTCATGAATTTTCCCAGTGCATGTAAGCTATTTCTACTTGTACAAATTCTATTTAAAGACCACTTTCCAAAGTGATAAGAAACTTAAAAATGTTTCCTACTGACAGGCTCCATGAATCTTCCTAAATTCTTCCTCACCCCTTTCACATTGCTTGGTGGCATCGTTTCCGATTCCTGCCGAGGTATTCATAGACTGGCCCCTTTGTTTGATGGTCCAAGTCCGGTGTGGATATGCTGTGGTTTTCTGGAACTGAATCCAGTCTACTCTTGATCTTTTTCTATTGCTTTTTCTCCAAAAGAGAAATTAATTAAATAGATTTAAAGCTAATTTATACTTTCTTTTTATTTTTGGTAGATCAGAGCATTTGGGCAATAATTCTTAAAGCCGGCCGGGTATTATTGTCACTAACTAGACCATTTGCTTAGATTGAATTACTCTATCTGTTCCATTGCAATTTCTCCTTTGGAAGTTGATTTGATTTTTTGTAAAGATGTTCTCAGAAAAAAAGCAACTCTTTCAAAAATGCATTTTCTACATAAAAAGGAATTATTAAGACTTACTAATGATCAAAGAAATGCAAATCAAGACAGGCATTTCATTTTCTTTTTGCCTAACAGAAGGCAATGATTTAAGAACATTAATAGCTGCTTTTATAGAAGTGTGAGGAAAGTGTGATTGAGGAAGCAAAGCTTTCCTGGCACCCTGCATGCCAACGCCTTTTGCACCTTTCTGAGTGAACTATTCTAGTTTTAGGGACTTATCCTAAGAAAATGCCAGACATTTGGGCGAAGACCAGTGAGCAAGGACATTCATCTCAGCTTTACTTATCAGTTAAAGACTGGATTCAAGTTAAATGCCCCAAAGGGACAACTGACCAGTAGCTCTGCGATCGACCCGCACCCGCCAGCAGCTGCTGAATGGAGAACAGGCCGTGCACATACCCTTCCTTGGTGGTTCTGCCTCCGAGCCAGCCATGGCGGCCTGAGGCCCTGAAACTGTGAGCCAGGTAAATCCTCCCATGAATAATTTAAAAAGCAAAATAAATAAAAGGTTAGATGTAAAAAAAGGCAGGGAGGGAGAGATGGGGAGGGGTTTTGGGAAGCAGGGCATGAGGGGGAGGGAAAATAAAAATGGTCACAGACTCTGTGTGTGTGTGTGTGTGTGTGTGTGTGTGTGTGTGTGTGTGTGTATTAGAGCCCCACACTGAATGGAACCCTTGTGAATTGCAAATATGCATCAATGAAAATGATTTAAAAATAAATTCCTCCTTTAAACTGTACACATCTATGATTTTGTCCTACTAACATTTTGAAATATGACTAACATGTCAGTTTAGGACGATGCATGTAATCAATGTTTTTCATTTTTAAATTTAAAAAAAAGAAAGAAAAACACTAAGAAAGCTAGAATTTTGACATCAGTGGTTCCCCCAGAATTCATTGTCTCAATCGGGTAATGAGAAAGAACCACTTAAATTATTAGGCTGGAATGAACTTTGAGGACTAATTAGCTAAACTCAAGTTTTAATCTTTTATTCCTCTTTAACCCAGTTAAGTTTCATCAGCAATTTGATCTCATGCTATAGATTAGCTGTGGTCAAGATGGGCAACAACTTCTGAAAACTCCCACAAGACCTTGTTTTTAGCCTTTACGAGGCCAACTTAACACAGCAGAATAGGCCATGCACACACCCTTCCTTGGTGGTTCTGGGAGGTGAGATGTGGGAGAATCAATGGGGAAAAAAGAGTTGAGAAAGACTAGAAGATGAATTTGTAGAAGAATTTTTGAGTCTATATCCAATGTTTAATAAATACAAATAGGCTAGATTTTTATATTACATGTGAAACTACTGTAAATAGTGTCAAATAGGGGAGAAAAATGGACTACAAAACAAATTGTGCTAGAACAAGTTATTAAAAACATGGAGAACACATAGTTTGATCATAACCTTATATCTTAAATCAAAATGAATCATACACAAATAAAAGTATTTAGGGGCCGGGGAGATGGCTCAGTAGAGTGTTTGCCTGGAAAGTGCAAGGACCTGAGTTCAATCCCTGGTTCTGCCAAAAAAAAAAAAAAAAGTATTTAAAATAAAAAATGAAGTTGGATGTGGTGGCATATGCTACAATCCCAGCACTCAGGAGGCTGAGACTGAGGATTGCTGTGAGTTCAAGGCCAGCCTACCTCTCTCTCCTCCTCTTTCTCTGTGGGATTGTGGATCGTCATTGCTCAGTAGCAAGAGGTTATGGAAGAGATCTTACTTGCAGAAGAGAAGTAGAAAAAAGCAGAATCCCTCACTACAAATGAGATTAGGGAGATACGTAAAACAGTGCAAAATTTTGTAGAAAAATACCACCGGAATAGGGCTATAGCAGCGAGAATGATGAGTGTGCTTAACAATAATGCAATGTCACATTTCCATGAAATCCTCAAAGGGAGGCAAAAGCAAGTGTCACTGAATAGCTTCCTTGTTAAAGTTGTATGATGGGCTGGGGAGATAGCTCAGCAGTAGAAACCCCTGTAATCCCAGCACTCATGAGGCTGAGGCAGGAAAGGATCGGTGCAAAGTCTAGGTCAGCCTGGGCTACCAAGTGAGCTCAAGGCCAGCCTGAACTGTAAAGCAAGACCCTGTCTCAGAAAAAGACCCCTCAAAAAAGTAACTGCAGGTTAATTTGCTTATTTTCTTTATATTTTGTATTTTCTTTACTGTTTTGCATTATATTACAGTATTATAATCATTTTTATATGAATATTTTTGGGTTGTGGAATTAATCACCTGAGTTTCCATTATATCATATAGGAAAATCTGTTTTGATGTATAGTACAAGCGCTTTGGATTATAGGCATATGTCTGGAACAAAGTTTTACTGTTTTTGTAAATACAAGTCTACCTGAGTTTCTCCCGCAAGACATGGCTTCCCTGCCCCTAAGAGAGTGTTAACTCCGTAGCAGAGTTTCCAAGGCCCGCCCGCTGTGATCAGGCTTGCCGCCTATGCTCGCCCTTCCCTACACGAGCCACATCCTGCCACACGCAGCTGCGTCAGGCCCTGGAAGGCAGGGTACTCAAGCTTGGAGGAAACTTGCTTCCTTCTGTCCTTCCTAGTCCGCCCCTCATTCTTTCAATTCCATCTTTCCAACTTAGTTACTTTCTCCTCAGGAGGAGCCTTCCCTTACCCTGCGCTTGGGATGGGCGTCGATGTGCCTCATTTAGTGCCCTCCACTTCCTCTTTCACATGAAGCACGTAGATGACCTGTTAATTTCCCCTCTCAAATCTGACTGCCATGACAGGCTGTTGGTCAGCGTCCCCAGTGGCTAGCCAAGAAGGAAGCAAAAGAGGGACTGTGGTATATCAGATGTTAAACATGTTGGACTGAATTCACTTGGCTCACTTGTCCCCATTTCTCTCTTCGCTTTGTCTGAGTCACAGTTTTCAGCCCCTAGGCCACCTGGTAGCAGCCAGAACAAGCAGGAGAAAACGGTCTAACACTACATTAAAATCCAGGGTGGAGAGGGTTGTGTGTGCAGTTACGTGAGTGCCGACCAGACAGGTGAAGACGTTAAGGGGGCTGAAGGTTCTTTTTATAGCTCAGAAAGCCAGCAGTTCTAGTCAAGAATCGTGGACTTGAATGATAATAAAAGACTATAGAATTTTAATAGTGTAGAAGGAAAAATAAAATTCACCATTTGTCTCAAGGAAGGGCAAGAAAACTAGGTTGGACAGTGACTTCTCTTCCAAGAGCCAAGGACTTAAGCTTCATGGCAAGACTTGTAAGCGCTTAGAACTAAAATACCTTTCCCTCGCCAAGAGAGAGAACAATGCCTTGGAGCATTGTGGGGCTTTGGGACGAGCCGCTCTCATGGCCCAATTCTCTGTAGAAAAGAAAGCCCCTCTAGCACAGATTTCTCTGTCTCTAAAAAGCCAGTCATTCAGACAGTTGGTAAAGGCGGCGAAGCGTTGGCCCTGGCCTCCTTGCCTCTCCCTGCTGCCTGTGCAGTTCTGCCCTTAGCACTGCCTCTAACACAACCCTCAGGCTCAGCTTACCCCCGGCTGCAGATTATTTCCAGGGCTTGCAGGTTGCCATGGTAGGCTGCTAGCAGAGTGGGTGTCATGCCATCTTCGTCGGAAAGATTCAGGTCTCGAGTGGTAGCCTCTTTCAGAAGCTCCAGGTAGCTATCACTAGCAGCTTGGTGGTACCGGGTGGACATTTTTTCTGCTCACCAGAGCTTCACAGGATGTTTCTCTCTGGGCAGGGCAGAAGGTTGGCAGAGCAACCTTCCTATGGAGCTGGTTAATCAGTGATGAGAAATGTCCCTCAAGGGCAAAGCTCATTCCAGCTCCTTCCTTGGAAGGTGGCCAGAAAGGTCCACAGCACTGAACTTGGGCCTTTTCCTTCTGAAGTGGACAGGACACCAGGTATTGAAGCCTGATATGTTCATCTCGAGTACTCTGAGGCACATTTAGTTTTTGCTATGTCCATTGAACAGGTCTTGAATGGAATACTAGCCAGCTAGGCACAGAATAGAAAATATAATCTCTATAACTTTTAGAACTCTTCTAGTTCACTGGAGAGGACTTTATCAAGCTGTACTCATTAAAATTTACCCATTCACTTTACCCAGTTAATTCATCAGAAAATTAGTTAAATTCAATGATTTTTAGTAAATTTACAGAGCTGTACAGCCATTACCATAATCTTTTTTTTGTTTTTGTTTTTGTTTTTTTGAGACAGGGTTGTGCTATGCAGTTCAGGCTGGTTTTGAACTGACTTTGTAGCTCAGGCTGGTGGTGCACTATGAGCGATGCTCCTGCCTCCGCCTTCTGAGTGCTGGGATTACAGGCATGCACAACCGTACCCAGCTTTTCCATAATCTAGTTTTGAAGTATTTCTATTACAATAAAAATTTCCTTCATTCTTTATTGTAATCAACTCTTATTCCTACTTTCAATTCTACAAGACTACTCATGTGTTGTCTTTCTATGTGGATTTGCTTTGATTAACACTTCATATAAAGGGAACTAGATAATAATAGTATTTTGTCAAGCTTTTTCAAAGTATAAATTTTGAACTTCATCCATTTTTATTGGTAAATAATATTTTACCATGTTAATGCGCCGAATATTCTTTATCCGTTCAGCAGTTGATGGACATTTTGATTGTTTCTTTTTGGCGATTATGAGTACTATTGCTATAAAGACTCACAGAAAGACCACGTAGACCTACTGGAGCATTTTCACATCTTTTGAGATGTACCATAGAGGGGAATTGCTGGGTTATCTATAGGTTATATTTAGCTGTAAGAAATTGCCGAAGTGAGCTTCTCGTGTTCTATAGGATAGTGGAGTAACTGTGATTCACAATTATGTATTTCAAAATAGTGAGTAGAAAGAATTTTGAATGTTCCCAACACAAATGAGAAATGTGTAAGGTGACAGGTACCCTAATTACTCTGATTTGATCTTTACACTTGTATACAAATATTAGCATTTCACACTGTACCCGATAAATATCTTTGATTACCATGTTGCTACATTTTACATTGCAAATAAAATATATCATATAAAAAGAAATTCCCAAATTGGTTGTATCATTTCATGCTACTACTGACGGTGTATGAGGGTGTCAGCGCCTTCACATCCTTGACAGACCTTGTTGTCTTTGTGTTTACTGCTGTCATCCTGGGCATGAGATGGTACATGACGGCTGGAATTCGCATTTATCTGATAAGTGCTTTTCATGTGCTTATCCGTCACTCTTACATCTTTTATTCAAACCTTTTTCCCACTGGGTTGTCTTCTCACTAATGTATTATAAATACTTATATAGTTTAGATCCAAGTCCTTTATAAAGTATTTAGAGGGCTGAGGAGATAGCTCAGTGGTGTAGGCGCCTGCCCGGCAAGAGCAAGGACCTGGTTTCGATCCCCAGTACTGCATCTGGAACCTCAGGCATGCCATGCTGGCCCCCAAACCAGGTGTGGTGGCGCAGACCTGTAGTCCCAGCACAGGCTGGGACAGGAGGGTCACTGCAAGTCTGAGCTGCACAGTGAGACCCTGTACCAAATATATAAATAAATAAATATTGTGAAAGAATAAAATATTTAGAAGCAGGTGTGTTTCTAGGTTAAGATTATGCTAGTTCACTACATATGCAGTGATCCTGGGGGTGAAAAGAGTGTGAGCTGTTAAAAACGTCTTTCTGTCAAACTGATGTCCAACAAACGGCTAAGACATTTCTGGTGCGTTACTACCTACCTGGAAATCAGAATTTAGTATGCCCCTAGCTAAAACCCCTAAGCATACCCAACAGAACCACCCTACATGAAGGACCAGTGGCCACTCTTCAAGTAATTGGAAGCAACAGAAGATTACAATGACATTCTTGTGCTGTTGCTTGTGTTGTCTTCCCTCAACATCACTGCTTGGTCTCCAGATGGTAACCTGGCACTGCCAATGCCAGATCACTGCCACTCCAGCCTGCTCACTTTAAATCAGTAATTGGAAAATCTCAGCATTTGTGCAGCAGCCATGAACAGGAATAGAAAATTTTAAAAATACTTGAAAACAGAATGAAAATAAAAACACAACACATCAAAACTTATAGGATGGGGCCGGGGAGATGGCTCCATAGAATAAGCACTTCCCAGGCAAGTGCAAGGGCCTGAGTTCAATCCCCCGTTCCGCAAAAAAAAAAAAAAAAAAAAAGTCATTACCTGCACCAATATCTTAAAGTGCTTCCCCACCTTGTCCTTAATTAACTTTTGTATGGCTTTTTAATCTCGACACAACTGCATTAAATAGTTGAGAGAAATAGTTAAATAGTGAGAGAAAACATGTCTAAGTAGGAAGAGGGTCTCTCAAAGACTCATTACTTACAGGAATCCATGTGCCCATCAGCCACAGTGTGTGCTAGCAGAAGATGATGCTAAGGACAGTAGGGAGGGGTACGGGGGGGAGGCAGAAGGTAAGGAAGGCGACAGTCACAGAGAAGACGTTTGGAGATGAAGATGAAGAGAGAACAGAAGACTGAGGTTTCTTGGCTGCAGCAGTCCTCGTGACTGGGACTTGAGTTCTCCTGTGAAACAGTAAACATTTGAGTTTTTTCAAATGGTAAAGATCATGGCACTCCCGACATTTTCTTGGGAAAACTTCCTCTGGGTTGCCAGGGAGATAGCTCTGTGGCATAAGCACCTACCTGGCAAGCACAAGGTCCTGAGTTCAGTCCCTGGTACTGGAAAAGAAAAATCCTTTCTTTGGATAAAGGTGGTTGGGGAGTGGAAAGAAGCAGACATGAACCCTTCTGAACTTAAAGAGCCTGTGTACCTCTTCCCTTCAAAGTGAGGTGGAAGGAGAGCTAGGGCTAGAAAGCTTGAGTCCGTCACATGGGGGCAAATCATTTCTTTGTGCCTGTTAGGTTCAGATCCACAGTGTTCCCCCAAAGCCTCATGGGTGTGGTCAGGCCTGGTCAAAAGGCACAGGTCACTGGAGGTGTGACCACAAGGCTGTGTTTCTGTCCCTGGCTCCTCCCTTCCTCTCTGGCTCCTCTTCTACTGTGCTGTTTGGTGCCAACCCCCATGGACTGAGTCCACTGAAACTGTAAGCCAAAGTAAACCCTTCCTTTAAGTTGCAGGCATCTGGTATTTTATCCACTGATAGAAAAGCTGACCAGCAGAGTCCCATTTCCTTCTGGGTGAAACTGGAGGAGGGAGGGAGTGATCACAATAGTACGATCAATTAACTTTACAGGAATAGAAAGGAAGTAAGATAGAAGTCCTTATAAAGTATAAAGTATAGTTTTACAGACTAGAAGTTAGTGTGATTGTGACTCAGAGGATGGGGAAGGAGGGCTGAGGCAGGAGGGAGAGAAAGGGAAGAGAGGAGCATGTCGTAGCTCAGACAGTGTTCTTTGGGCTTCAGAATCATTGGGAAACACAGTTAGTAGGAAATGGTGGGGCAGAAGCTGACAGGAAGTGTGAACGCAGCTTTGCGTGTAAAGCAGACACTAACACCTTATACCTGTAATGTCTTAGTAATTGCTCAGTAGTCATGGATTCTGTGCTTCGACCGTCTTAGCTTTCTGGTACATTTCAGACTATTCCCACTGGATGCCGCTGGACGCTTCAAAAGTCAGAGCATGCTTGCCACACATGGGACAGTGACAGACAGTCTAAGAATCAGACCTGAGGAACCCCGACCCCAGTCACACCCCCATCACCCCTCTTCTCGGACCACTACTGTCGCCCACCTCTTTAAACACCTACATAGTAGTATAACTCAGAGAAATGTTCTGCCAACTACTTAAGGGTCCTCTTACCTGTCCCTTAAATTCAGAGGGTTAGGTCTTATTTTGTCTTTTGTTTTCCTAAATCCTTAAACACTCAGCCATTAGCTGACACCCCGGGACATTTAACTATTAACCTTGAGAGGCCTTTCTGCTCAGACAGCATGTCCCTGTGCCAGCGACCCAGAGGATAATGTACTTAACAGGACCCAAGAGCAGTCCAAGGAGTTTTCTACGAGTGGCTTCTCTCTCACCTACGGAGCAATGCCATCGCCAGCTTCCGTAGCAATGGTAGTGATTTTGGAGCCTCTTCTGACACAGCAGCATTTCCTGAGAACTAGGTGAGCTGGACAGGTGCGCCACCCATCATGGAGTGCAATCCTGGCCAAGAGGAAGGAATATTTGAATGAAGAATTTACCTAGGGCCATAACAATCTATAAAGCAGAGCTCTAGGTATTCATTTTCTCAGGGAGAGGAAAAGAAAACACAGAGAGCTGCCATGGTGGTGCATGCCTGTAATCCCAGAGCTTTGGCTGGCTGTTAAGGAAGGATCTCAATTTACCAAGCCCCCGCCTCAAAATAAAAAATGTCAAAAGGGTTGGGGGATGTAGCTTAGCACAAGGGCCTTCAGTTCAACCCCAATTATCAGAAGAAGAAAAAAGGAAGAGATCAAGAGTAACAGACAAAGATTTGTGAGAGTTGGTGCTTCCAATATGCTTCTAAGAAAAACCAAAATTAGCAAAGTACAAACTGAAGGTCTCTTTCATTGTTCTGCAAAACTATTCACTGCTAATTGGGAAAGAAATTCAATAGCTTGTATGGCCCAGAAACACATATTTTTGGTAATGAGATTGGCCCAAGGACCCCAAGAGTTCTAGTTTTCAAAGCAGACTTTTTTTTTTTTTTGTTCTTTAAAGTTATTCAAGTCTAATTACAGAAGAAAT